TCTCTTGTGAAGGCTGAAGAGATTCAGCTCTCTCAACCTTCCCCCATAGGGTCTATCATGAAGGCCACTAATCATGCAAGTGGCCCTCCTCTGGACCCTCTCGAGATTCCCTGCGTCCCTCTTGAAGTGCGGCACCCAAAACTGGACACAGTACTCCAACTGCGGCCTGACCAGTGCCGCATAGAGGGAGAGCATCACCTCCTTTGTTCTATTAGTCGTGCATGAGCAGGTGCATGACAAGGTGAGATTGGCCTTGTTGATGGCCTCGTTACACTGCCGGCTCATGTTCATCTTGGAGTCAATTATGACTCCGAGATCCCTCTCTGCCTCCGAGCTGCTGAGAAGGACACTCTCCAACATATAGGTGTGCTGGGGGTTCCTCCTTCCCAGGTGGAGTACCTTACATTTATCTTTATTAAATTGCATCCTATTTCTCTCTGCCCATTGATCCAACCTGTCCAGGTCAGCCTGAATCTGCTCCCTGCCCTCTGGTGTACTAACTTTGCCCCATAACTTGGATTCATCAGTGAACTTGGAGAGGGTGCTCTCCACGCCCCCGTCCAAATTGCTGATGAAGATATTAAATAATATCGAACCTTGCGGGACCCCACTGCCCACCTCCCTCCAGGTCGAGAAGGAACCATCCACCACCACTCTCTGGGTGCGGTCCCTAAGCCAGTTGGCCACCCACCTGACCATGTAGGCGTCCACTCCACAGTCTGCTAGCTTCCCAATGAGGATAGGGTGCAAAACTGTGTCGAAGGCCTTCCTAAAGTCCAGGAAGTCCAGTGGCACAGACTTGTGCCCCCAGTGCTGCCAGGTGAATAGGGGGTGCCTTGCCATGGTGGTACAGCTCGTGTGGGGCTCTTGGGGAGAGGGCAGCAGGGCGGGGAGCCCCAAGCCCCCAATGGACCACCTGCATCTGCTCCTGCCCTCACACAGGCTCCACTCAGCTCTGCTTCAGCCATGCCACCAAGGAGGGGGGGCTTCATCTTTGGCCCCCCGCAGCAAAAATAAAAGTTTGTGCCAATGGAAGTAGTACTGTCATCAATAAAAAGCTTGAACTCTGTCATGACTTTCCTTCAAGTTATTGCAGGCTTCCCTTTTTAAAAATTGATGTTGCTGCTCCCAACCATTTGTGCAGCTCTCCCACATTATAAACCTTATGGTTCATTAAATAAATCCTTATGTTAAAAAAATCCTCGGACCATATTCTTAAAATAAGATGGAGTTCTGGTCTTTAATCAATCAATAGATTCAATCCAGAAAACATTCTGTAAGCAAAAACTGAAGTCAGTCCATTTGAATTCTGCCCACAGTGAATTTAGATGATCAGGCATCATTTGCCCAAGTCCTCTCAGGACATCCATCATCTAGAAAAACCACACAATGGACCAAATCGTTCTCTGGTGTATGTGGAACTTATACCAGTGTAAGGACAAAGATCCTTTAAAATATTAATGTAATAAAGGAATGTGACAGGTTGTGACCAAACACCAATGTGCTGTGTTGGACCTTTACTATTCCTAAGTCTCACCTTGAATCTTATGTTCACATAGTAGTCTGTAATGATCCTGGCATTTTCCCGAGACTGTCTCATGCGGCTCATGCTAGGTGGCTTGATGAAGATAATGTAGGGTTTTAGTTCATGGGTTCGAGCCACTTGTATTCCCTGCAATCAATCAATTAGTGGGCAAGTTAAAATATATTTCATGGGAACAAAATCTGGGATAAAAACAAAAGCGTTATGTACAAACTATTACAATTTGCAGACCTGGCAGTAATCTTATTCCAGAACACCTGTTATAAAATGATCTCATTAGTAATCCCCAGGCCTGCCATTGTTAAGTATTTGCACCACACCAATTACCTAATTCTATACAGTCACCTTATTAAGAAATGGTCAACTTCAATAAATAAAACCCCACATTAACAGGGTTTAAATTACCTAGGGTGTTTTTACATGTGCTCTGGTGGGTTGTGGGGGTGCAAATTTTAATTAGAGTGGGTCTCAGGAGTTGGTCTAATCAAAACACCCAGTGTCTTATGTATTCAGTGTCCCGTGTTCCAAAATGGTGGTGAGGTGCTTTAGCTAAATTACTGTGCTGTTTTACAACAATAATCAGTACTTGTGGATTGCTGTAAAACAGCAAGAGGCACAAAACATGAATAAGTACAATATCAATAAGAGCTACATTCTGCTATGTTAGCAGAATTATGTTTCTATTTTTCATTGGGTACCAAATTTAAGGGAAGACATTGAACACACAAGTGGCTGCAGAGCACACCTCCTGGCCAGTAATTCTGCTTTTGAGCAACACTCATTCTTTCAGACCCACAGTTGTCTAATTTCTAGTTTTCATCTCTCTAATTAGCAAAAAAAACCCACTACCAGCCTAATGCTTGAACAATGTTGACTCCATCTACCCAAAGGAAATTTCTCACTGGAGTTTATTGGGCCATGCTGCCTTTCTTTCATTTATGTTTTTAAATGTTATAAAATTAAAAACTATTAATGCCATTAAATGAATGAATTATTTAAGGGAAAATATCTGAACAGAGTTCTTTGCTGGACTTAAGTCTTCAAGATCTCTTGGACACCTACAAACTCAACCTTTTTGCCTTATCCTGCTCAATGTTAAGGCTGGAAAAAAGAAAGCCCACAATGTAGGTAGAAAAAGAAAACTTAGACAAGTTTTGTTATTTTTTTTCCTTGACTTAGAAGAAAGGGTAGTGCCCAAAAGTGAAGCATAAACAGAAATTATCTGAAATGATAATCGCAATGGATGCCTCAACATTTCACTACTATAGTTCCTTCCAGGGAGCATATTTAAAAAAACCTTTAAAATGATACCCTACTCTCCTCCTACCTCTTATCTACTGCCATAGTAATGAGTACAAGCGTGTTCCCTATTAGCCATTGTTGAAAGGGCCTGAATATAAATACATAGAAATGAGACATAAAGTAAGTGTAAGTAATTTATAGTAAAACGAAACTTAAGATTACAGAATGAAACTTAACGCACCAATCAGGTGTAAGCATACAGGGTTACTTTAGAGCAATTGGGAAGTCCCAAAACTGGCTCAGACCAGAAAAAATTGCTCAAAACTGGGTCAGTGGAGTGAAATGGGCATGCACCAGATGCTGCATCCATACCCGAATATGGGATTTATGGCGAGGCGGAGTAGGAGGCGGGCCATGACGCCAACTCACTCCATATAAACCGAGCATAAGCAATCCCAATTCGGAGGAGAACTCACTTGCAGAGCATCAAAGGAAAAATCGCAAGTAGTTTATGTTGCAGCCTGATGAACTGCGCAGAGTCCCCGAGACAAATATCTCACTCTAAGTGAACAAGTTGTCTCGCCTGAAAACCGCAGAAAACCAAGCCAGCAATGTCTCGTCTGACTCGGTAACAGAATAGAATAACTAAGTATGCTACACCTATTAGTGTGGTAAGTATGAAAAATGAATAATACAAATAATTCTGAAATCAGTAAAGTAGTTGTAACCTTTAACTGTACTTGTAATCCCTTTTCTGTAGTATTATTATCAACAGAAACAGGAGCAGCAATTTCTGTCATATTTTTGTATTTTGTGCTCATGTATGTTGTGTTTCGTATTGTTTATGAAAGCTAAGCAGTTGTACGAGAGATCTAAGGAGTGGTAAATTAGTTAATACATTGTGCATAATAAAGGAAGCTCAATAATTAATAACACCCACCTCAGAAATCTCCTCAGTACTTACCCTTCACACTCCTATATTCCAACTCCTAACGAGCTGTACCGTTCGGCCCTGTAACTTTACTGCACCCGCACAGTAACATCTACCTTAGAAGGGAATGACTACTTGCTCCTCAAAAATTCTCTCATCTCCAGTCTGATTCTGATGGATCATTGAGAAGAGGAAATAAAAAAGTTCCTTCTCTTAGAGACTATTTGGGAAAAGGGTTTAGTGAGCAACTCTGTAGTGTTTTATATATATCAAAGGTGTCAAATGTCTGTCCTGTGGAGCTCCTGGAGGAGTTAGGACTTTGGGGATGGAGTCCACCACAATTTCATAGCCTCATTAGTGGCGAGTGACAGTAGCATATATATATGGTAGCAGAAGAACAGGCACACTGAAGCTGTAGAAACAGACTCTCACAGGCATCTACTAAAAGTTGGCCTGATGCTTTTATTAGATTAGTTTCCAAACTACATACTAACCCAATATTCAGCTGTTAGCAGCACTTATTCAAGATGGACATGTGTGATCTGACAGTACACATTTTCCCCCCAAAACAAATTTTCAGTTGAAAATGTCTAATTGTATAATTTGACTACAACTCCAATTCTGAGGGTAAACACAATATAAATTAAACAGCAAATGCAGTTTGTATGCATTCTAAACAGTTGCAGTTTCCAGTAAGCAGGAGATTACAATGTTATTAAGGTTTAATCCAATTTTACCATAATTTCACTAACTGAGCCTTGTCTTTAATCAGTGATACAATGATAAAGATGCTACAGAACCATGCCTCAGGGTAAAGTTCAACCCGCATCTAGCAATTATACTAATGATTCCCCATAAGAAAGACCCACCACCTGATTTCCAAATGTGTGGGGAGTCCCACTGGCCAGAGGCTGACCACTGCTGATCTATGGAGTGGTAGTAGCTCTCAGATATATGATTAAATGGTGTTAACTGCTTCTACTTATTTCCCAGCTACTTAACTGCTTCAAAAGAAATAAGTATATTGAAACAAGTAGTTCTTAAGTTTATGGGTGGCTTCTTTTGAATCAATGGACTCTCATCAGCCCTCAGAATATGTTGCTAACCACCGTGTCCTCCAAGCTTCTCCCCACCAATTCTTTTTCATCAGACTTCTAATTGAAAAGGGCCAATCTGATACAATCTATAGACAACTTGTCATAGCCTCATGGACCACAGTTTGGGAACCACTTTACCAAATACTTTCCTAAGCATATTTTTTCACTTAAAAATTGCTGTTACCACAAGGATATTACATAGTTCAAAAAGAAGTGATGGCATGCTGCACAATCATAAACCTGAAGGGAGATGTTCATGACAGAAACCTCTGCAGGAAAGTGTGGCTTCTGCTGGGAACGAGTTCAGGGACTTATTGCACCCTTACTTTTGATCCAGACATGCACATGTACCTTTGATAAAACACCCGTAATTTATGCTTGTCACTAAAGCCAAATGCAAAAAAGAGAGGCATCTACTTCCAACAAGTGTCATGAGAGGGATTATGCTGTTTCTTTCTTTGATCCTATTTCTTCCATAAAATGCAGGCCTTGGATTTCTGCCCGACTCACCTGAGGTTCTAAATCAACTATGCAGACCTTCCCTTCATCCAGGACTGTTCGCACAGCATCAACACTGGTGCCATATAGATTTCCTTTGTATTCCCCATACTCCAACATTCTGCAAAAGTAATGAGAAGGGAAGGAAGGGAGAAATGGGGAAGAGCCTTTAAATTTTCAGATCGAGTGTCCTAGTTAAAAACACAATCAAGGCTACGGACAGACATTCAAAAAGCCCGAGCCTGAATTGATTCAATCTTTGCAGATTAGCAACAAACCAAAGCTCATCTCTTCTGACTGACAGTACTGAAGCATAACTTCAAAACTGTCCTGCCTTGGAGCATGTTGAACATTAAAAGATGGTGAGAAGAAAGCAATATTAGACAAAGGAACTCTAATATGCCTTCAAAATTACCTGTGAGTATAGACCAAATTTTCAAACGTTTCCTTTGATACATAGTGATACTCACGACCATTTACTTCATAACTCTTCTGAGCACGTGTAGTGTCTGAGAGAGAGAAAAAAAGTCACTATTAGGACAGTTTCTAGTGAAGAATAGAAATCTCCAACCACTATCTTTCTTAAACTGAAGTTGAAGATTTTAAACTCTTCACTTTTACAAGTAATCAGAAAAGTAATACATGATTTTTTTTTCCCCAAAAGAAAACCCCAGCTACACAACCTTTAGATTAGTAAAACTTCCAAAAATTGTACTTCCTTGAGTCTCCATTTGAACATATGGAGCATCATTGCTAAAACCGTTTACAATTTTTAAACTGTTTTAAGGCAGTACTGAGTTTGGGAATTTTCCTACTAAATGGGTTTTTTGGGAAAACATGAGTTTGGTTTTCTTTTTAAGCCAATGTGCTTCATAAAATGCATCAGGTAAGAATTGGAAGTCTGGTAACACAAGGTTCCAGAAGATCCAGAAGCCTGTCAAACCATTTTAATCAGGTTAACAAATCTTTCATTCATGGGCAGGACTAACCTTATGGTTACTGCATAATATAATACACCCATCAGGGAGCATGTTTCTCTGTCATTTCTGTGTTACTCTGTCATCAGCAAGGAATTCTCAATACATGTGTGGCCTGCTTCATCAGATCCTGAAAGCCCTCTATGTCCTCCGATTGACAGGTACAGGCTAGATGAGCAGGGGCCTGGGAATTCTGATCCAGGAACATAATGCTCGCTGCAATCTAAGGAGAGGTGAATGTGGCCCTTGGAAGAAGCTCAGGACATTGACTGAAGTCTTTGATTGAGCTGAAGGCTGTTGAAGGCCTCAGGTCTAAACCAGCCACACTGGCATCATTGCAACCTTTTTTCCCCCCTATTGCCTGCCATTCCATCCTCAAGCAAGTATGGTGCAGTGGCCCCAAAGACAGGAGTGAGTCAGTAGTGGAAGAGGCACAAACAGATCAGCACCAAGGACAGAGATTGTGCCAGAGGTATTGGGGAAACCAAGTCTAAGGGACAGTACCACCCACAAAGCCAGTGCCAGGTGGCCAATTCTAGGTAGGACCAGTACAGGTCAGTGGGTTGGCACCAAGAGCTCACCAGGATTTAAACAGTGGATAACTGCCTCAATGCGACAGAAATAATGTTATCACTTGACAAGTTTACCAAACCTCCTATGGCTCCTCTGTCACCACAGATGACAGGGAGGACAGATGTAACTGTAAAACAGCCAGTGTCCACTCCTGTGAGGTTTTACATAGCATCTGAGCTGGGGAGGAGGTTACTATCTAGTTAAAGCTGAGCAAGCAGCTACAAATTTTGTCAAAGTATAAACATCATCACTGACAGTGGGGAGAAGAATGTACAGAAAGTGGATGTATAATAAGAAAGGTATGCATATATGGGTGTGTTTAAGTATATAAGGTTTCAGGAAAATGCCCAATAGTAAGAAATTGATTATATAAATAGTCTGTAAATAGCCAGTAGTAGTAAAAGTAATGAATATGCAAGAAACAAAAGGTATAAAAGCAGGTTGGAAACAAAGGGTCATTGGACTACAGGACTATGCCCCTGAATGCTCTAGCAAGACATTAAAATGTCTGATCATGAAGACAGGGAGCAAAACTCACTTGCAAGGTAACTATAGTGCATTTCTTAGTATAAGAGCATGTGCTGTCTGCTGAATAAACCTACATTAGTGGAGTGTAAACTCCTGCATCTTAAGCATTCTCTCTTTCAACCCACTCGTTCCCTGATGCAAGGGTTTGAGGTAACACAAAGGCCTATTACTGGCCGGAAAGCAAAGGTACCACACCTGAGTGAAACAGAGCATGACCCATGTTATGAATGCTCAAGGACTGAACTTCTCAGGCAGTCAGAAAATAAAATTATACAAATTTGCTTTAGATTGCAATGCTAAAAGAGAAATTTGAAGCCTGGGAGCTTCCTAAGGATTTATATTGTCACTGTTTTCAGAATCTAAGCCAGCGGTTTTCAAACCTCCTAAAGTCACAGAATCCTTTCATATCGCTCCGGCTGTAGAACCTCTATGTAGATGACTGACATGGAGCCAGGCAACCTGGCCCAGCAATGGAGGTGCACTGCCTCCCAGTCCGCTTTGTCATTATCCCCAGTCTTTTTCTGAAACTCCTGATGACCTATCGCAGAACTCCAGGGTTTCACAGAACTCAGTTTGAAATCACTGTTCTAAGCAATTCAAACAATAGAGTGAGCTTTTCCTTACAACATCTGTGGGAAGCACTTCCTATCCCTGGGCTGGAAAATGAGATCTAATAAAAGTATGTGATTTGCCCAAAATAATGCAGATAACAAATTACCATGTCAAGAATCAAACCCAAGTCTCCTAAGGTCCAGAACCTTGACCCCAACTTCACCCTACTTCTCTTCCTGCTAGTTGGACAAGCCAGTCAAAGGCAGTATCATAGAATCATAGAAATTAAGGGCTAGATGGGACCTTAAAAGACCATTGAGTCCAACCCCCCTGCTCTGGGCAGGAAAACTGCTGAGATCAAATGATCCCAGCAAGGTATCTGTCCAGTCTCTTCTTCAAGACTTCCAAGGACTGCACCACCTCCTTGGGAAGTCTGTTCCAGATTCTGTTCACCCTTACCATAAAGAAGTTCTTCCTTACATCCAACCTGAAAACATCCTCTAAAAGTTTATGGCCATTGCTCCTTGTTCTCCCCTGGGGTGTTCCAGTGAATAGTTTTTGTCCCAGCTCCTGATATTCACTCTTTACGTACTTATAGATGGGCACCAAGGCCCCCCTCAGTCTTCTCTTCCCCAGGCTGAAGAGTCCCAGATCTCTTAGTCTTTCCTCATAAGTTTTGTCCTCCTGGCCCTTAATCGTTCTTGTGGCCCTTCTCTAGACCCTTTCAAGTTTCACCACATCTTTTTTGAAGTGCGGTGCCCAGAACTGGAAATAGTACTTCAGCTGCTATCTCACCAGCACCGAGTAGAGATGAAGTATCACTTCCTTAGCCTTGCTCATGGCACATCAGCTTATGCATCCCAGTATGCTAGTAGCTCTGTTGACTACAGCATTGCACTGGCAGCTCATGTTCATCTTGTGATCAACCATAACCCGAGGCCCCTTTCAGCCATCATGCTGACCAGGACATCTCTTCCTAACATATATTAATGTTGCAGGTTACTTCTCTCCAGATGAAGCACTCTGCATTTATCCTTACTGAACTGCATCTGATTCTGCTCTGCCCAGCTTTCCAACTTGTCCAGGTCCACTTGGATCTGCATCCTATCCCTTGTCATGACCGTTTTTCCCCATAACTTAGTATCATCTGCAAACATGGCCAGTGTACTTTAAAGAAAGCTTCATAAAAGTACTTTAAAAAAAAGATTACTTTAAACAAAGCTTCATAAAAGCAGATAAGCTTTGCCTCATTGCAGTTAGAAAACATAGAATCATAGAAAGTTAAGGTTAGAAGAGATGTCAGGAGATCACCTAGTCCAACCCCCTGCTCAAAGTAGGACCATCCCCAACTAGATCATCCCAGCCAAAGTTTTGTCTAGGTCGGGTTTTGAAAACCTCCAAGGAAGGAGCTTCTACCACCTCTCTAGGTAACCTGTTCCAGTGTATAACTACCTTCCTAGTGAGAAAACTCTTCCTAATATCTAACTTAAACTTCCCTTTCTGTAACTTGAGACCATTACTGCTTGTTCTATCTTCTGCCACCCCTGAGAGCAGTCTAGCTCCATCCTCCTTGGAACCACCCTTCAGGTAGTTGAAGGCTGCTATTATGTCCCCTCTCAGTCTCTTCTTCTCTAAACTAAATAAACTCAGTTCCTTTGGTCTTTTCCCCTCACCATTTTTGTCACTCTCTACTGGATTCTCTCCAATTTGTCCACATTCTTTCTATAGTGGGGGCCCAAAACTGAACACAGTACTCCAGATGTGGCCTCACCAGTAGGGGTGTGTGAAACAGGCCATATTCGATTCGGATTCCGGCCAAATCAGGGACAGTGATTCGATTTGTTGATTCGGATCACTGTCCTCAACTTGATTCAGCCGAATCCAAATCTGAAGATTCGATGCTGATTTAGAGAATCAGCAATTTGGACTCAGACACAGCTTTAAATGTTTTTTCTATTAACCTCAAGGTACCAGGTATGGCTTGTGAACGCTGTGATGCTGGGGCGGACGGAGCATCCCACCGGGGGGGGCGGGTCCAGTCCGGTCCGCATGCTTCTGATCCACTTCCAGGCCTACCGAGGAGCACATGGGACCCCCCTGTGTACCCCTCGGCTCAGTGATTGGCCAGGGGGGGACCCCACATGCTCCCCAAGACCCAGGAGGAACCAGTCGCTAAGCTAGAGTAGTGCGGGGGTTCCCCAGCACACTCCTTGGCAGACCCAGAAGTGGACCAGAAGTGCTTCTGGTCTACTTCTGGGTCTGCTGCTGAGTGCTCTGGGGATCCCCCGTGCTTCTGTGGGACACTCCATCTGCCCCAGCATCGCAGCATTCACAAGCCACCTGCTACCTTGAGGTATGTAGAAAAAACATTTAAAGCTGTGTCTATGTCCGAATTGCCGAATCTTTCCGCATCTCTCTGAATTGATTCGGAGGCTTCAGATTTGATTCGGAGAGATTCAAGGGTCCTGTGATTCGATTGGGATTCAGACCAAATCAGGCCAAATCTCTGTCGAATCAAATCAGGAACCAAAGCTTCACGCAGACCTACTAACCAGTGCTGAATTGAGGGGAATAATCACTTCCTTTAACCTACTGGCAACACACCTATCAATGCAGCCCAGTATGGCATTAGCCTTCTTTGCAACAAGACCGCACTGCTAGCTCATATTCAGCTCATCATCCACTGTAACTCCCCCCCACCCCCCGTCCTGTTTTGCAGAGCTGCTGCCCAGCCAGTCAACCCCCAGCCCATGCATGGGATTGTTCCATCCTAAGTGTAGGACTTCGCACTTGTCCTTGTTGAACCTCATGACATTCCTTTGGCCCAATCATCCAATTTATCTAGGTGACTCTGAATCCCAGCCCAATCCTCCAGTGTATCTGCTATTCCCCACAGCTTAGTTTCATTTGCAGACTTGCTGAGGGTGCACTCTATGTCATCTTCCAGGTTATTGATGAAGACATTGAACAAAACCAGCCCCACGACCAACCCCTGGGTCACTCCACTTGATACTCCACTTGAACATCCATTCTTGGAATGCCCTATAAGAGGAAGAACACTGATATTTCATATTTTCTTCCCTTAGAACATGAAGTTAAGGAAATTGGGGTGCAATGACATCCCTGAATGCCATGAGACGCTTTCAAGAGTGATGAAGCACCAGCACTGCCACAACCAGGTGAAAGTGCCCCACTCACCTTTTTCCAGGGGGCTCCTGCAGAGCCAGACTAGGAAACAGCTGCATGAGGAGTGTGCTTCCCAATCCAGCTCTGCAGGTGTCCCCTGGAAAGAAGTACATGGGTTAGTTCCACCTAATGACTCAGCAGCCAGAAGATAAAGTAGGTAAGATGAGACATTAAAACAGCGGTTCGCAACCACGTTGCTGCCAAATTCAGAAAAGTTACGGAGGGATGCCTTGAGTCTAAAACAATTGGAAGCCACTGATTTAGAGAATGAAAGGAATGTGTCACATACGTGGTACAACACTTTGAAACCGACAAGGGTTAGTCTGAATAAGTCGTCGCCTTAGCTCATTTATTCCGACTCCTGAAGGACCTGGATATTTAAAACAGAACACACACAAAGTAATATCAATGACTGAGACTATGCATAAAATCGACTCACTTTTTTAGTAAGTTTATATTTATAAACAGTCAAGGAACATGTTTAGTGAGAGAACTGATGAAGCAAATAACTAGGAGCAGTGCAGAAATCAGATTACGGCTTCTCCTGGAAGGAGTCCCTAGTGCTAGCATCACAAATTAGCAGTCTAATTTGAGGAAATGCAAAGTATCTACAGTTCCCACTGAATTAAAAAAAAGTTGCCAACATTCTGCACCTCAAGGTGCAAGACATGTCACTCTCCAGTCCTTTAAGCCATTGTCGGGAGGCACCAAGACCAGTTTGAATGAAAAGCTGGTTATCACACAATCTAGAGAGGACAAGATTTTTCTTTCAGCACAAACACCCTGGAATGTTGTACTTAGCAACATCAGAAGCAGCTTCCTTTTAGTCGTGAAAATCAAATTCTACTTTTGAACCTGCAACCTGTGACGCAGTAATATTCACCATAAAAATCCTACTCAATGCAAATTTTTATCTTTTAGTTTTCCCTTCTGCCTATGACTGAAATAGTATAGACTGAATTAATGTCACTTGAAGTGCCTGTGGGTTCTTAACCATAATCTTAGACCACAAGATACTTATCAGAGAGCATTTATAAATATTTATTTTCATGAGGCAAAGATTTCTTAGGGAGGTATCTTCTATTGGACCAACTGCATGGTTGGGATAGACAGATGTCTTACATTCTGTCTATGAATTGCTTGTCTAATTCTATCCCAACCATGCAGTTGGTCCAATAGAAGATATCGTCTTAAGAAATCCTTGCCTCTCATAATTCCTGGGCCATCATGGCTACATCATCACTAACACTATTGTAAGTATTTTCTCATCACTTCTGTATCTGAAGTTTGAAGCCGAACAGTTTCCCTGATAAACTGTACTTCCATCCGACATTTCTTACTCTAGTCTGTTCATAAAGTATTTGCTCAATGACATTTGGTTTTTTTTTTGTTGTTTTTTGGGGGGGGGGGCATTAAAGGATTTTGTTTCAGAACAGAAGCAAAACATATCCATAGACTCAAATAAAAGCTGATGGATGGCAAAAAGAAAGTTAGGTAAAATTTTGCACTCACCAATCAAAGAAGCATTTTAAAGAGTTAACTCTAAGGCCAAATTCAACAGCCACTGTAGTCAATGGTAGGACTCACAGAAGGTTAAATTTCATATTCCACAGGACTTTCATCAATATGATACTTTGCCTTCTGTATTTAGGAGAACCTGTAGGATTTGCATAAATAGGTACATCCCTATCTGTGGGGCACATTACTGTCAGTTGCTACAACATACCTACTAGCACAATCAGTCTGTTTCGATCAGAAGGATGTCGCTGGTATCTCACCACTTCTTCATAAGGGGCTGCTACTGTGCTGTAACAGATGCTGGGACACTGGGCATAACAGGACTGTTGGACGTTCTGGGATTTCCTCCGGCACAGACGCATGCTTCTTCGGAAACCAGCTGGAAGGAGCAGAAAGATACTGCTATTAAATCCATGCACTGAGTGCAGGTGAAAAAACACTAGTTCCATTTCACATAAAACACCTCAAGTTTTGCCTTTTCGAAAAGGAAAACATTAATTTGTTTAGAGTACTTGATACAGCAACTTGGTGGAAATCACTGAGCTCTGAAAGCAGTTATAGGTGAGATTTTCAAAATTACTTAGCACAAGGCCCATTGAAAGTCACCAAGAATTTAAGACCCAAAGAAACATCTCCAGAATAAAGCATGGAGGAGATTTAGTTAGAAATGGGCGATCTAATCTGGACATTTTTAACTGGCTTGAATTTTGTCTAATCTCTGAAGTGAACACAAATTTATTTCCAGATTAGTACCATTCATTTACCTGAAACAAACTGTTCCTTGACCTAGCAACCCATCTGAATGGAGATCTCACATAGACTATATGGCTTTGAAAAGTCCCCTCGCACAAAAGCATGAGGTATGAGGCACGGTCTGTCACAAAAGCTGGCCCTACCTAAGTTCATACCAAAGGAAGGGAACCTTAAAGACTTAGGTAGGAGGAGGGTGCCAGATTACACTAGCAATTTATTGGGGAGATTGAGTCACTTGGAGAAGCAATAAGGAAGAAGCTAATAGGAAAAGGTGGTCTCTTGGGATCTAAAAAGCAGAGTGAATAAAGATGGGATCAGAGAACCTTTGGGGCAAAATTCAGGAATGCTCCTCAGACAAGTCAGCTACATTCAGTTCAGCTTCAAGACAAACACACAGGCGAAGCCAAACCTGACTTGCTACTCACCACATACCAATAAAAATCCTTTGACCAGAATCACTGAATTCCTCCTCTTCTGACAGAGGGAAGGCAAGCACCCAGGGGAAAAGGGGAGAATATTGAACAGACAATGAGCTAAAACATTTGTTATTCTAGAACATGAAAGAGTAGGTATGGTCATAATGTTTAATTTCAGTTATATTAAGTACAAAGGTCAAACACTGTACAGCAGAGTCACATTGCATCAACGTTTCCATTAAAAAAATGTAGTACATCTCATGCTAGTTAATTTTAATATCGCAGTTTTTGAATGCTGGAACAAAGTCATTCTTTTTCTAAGAAAGTTGTGTCACATTGTTTTTATGCATGTATAAGCAGAAGAACTATGTCCAGTTTATGGTCTCCAGGTGGAATCTAGCTGCCATGAACCAATATTAAAATAATTGGAAGTTTGGTGGCTATAATACTACTAAATCTTTTAAAAACAAAAAACAGAACTGCACAACTCAACTCCTGTCTACGACTCCAACATTTGAAAACCACAGCATTGGGCACTTAGCTGCGTTCCCCACTACTCAAGCTAACTTTGTAATCTGTTTCCCTTCAGTTCTTTCTCCTCTGAAATGCTGTGCATCTGACATGGCCTTTCAGATCTGTACACATCTGTCTCCTTAAAATTCACTTATACTGAAAGTCTCTTGAATACTACTCCCTCTTTGAACCTTGAAAGCATTCATAAAGGCTTAGAAAATGTATTACAAACAAGATGAATTAAAAATGGTTAGGAAGAGATCTCTGACAGCAGTGTTTAGATCTCACTTCCTACAGGAAGCTGTACCTTGCTATGCTGTTTGTTGTTTCATGAGCACTTAAGTGGCAAAACTAAAAGTGATTTTAGGCATTGTCCTTAGAGAATGATCTAATAGATTTTACTTTTCACTTCTCTTGGATTCTTAGAAAGTTTGCTTCCAGTGTGTGTACATGCATAAATGTATGTGAGCAACTTGCTGTTTGTGATTATAGTGCTAAGACTTTGCCAACAAGTAAATTGGAGAACATGCTCTGAAGATAGGCTAAGATTTAGACAGGGTATGAATTATGGGGCAGGTAGGGGGGACGGGACTGAGCCCACCCCCACAACAGAGACAAGAACCCCCCTGCAGGCCAGTCAGCATGCCCACCCCCCTGCAACAGCCCAGAGCCCATGTACCACTGTGTGCAGCCCCCAGCCCATCCCACACCGCACCCTTCTAAGCAGCCCAGGTGGCAGCAACAGCTCTTAACGCAGGAGCAGGCAATTATTTTGGGCAGAGGGCCACTTACTGAGTTTCAGCAAGCCATCAAGGGCCACATGACAGGCAGCCCAGGGCAGATAAATGTTAATTTTCTGAATTTTTTAGGGGCCCCATGGGCCAGATAGAATGGCCTGGCAGGCCGCCTTCGCCTCCCAGGCCGCATTTTGCCCACCCCTGTGACCTAATGGCTGCCACTGGCCCCAGCCTCGCGGTACTGGTGGGGACCTGTGCACACAAGCCCGACCCTGGCCAATTTTTTTTGTAGACCCCTTACTGCCCCCCCACAAGAGACAAAGTGTAATTCAAACCCTGGATTTAGATAAAAAAGGGCACTTTTACACATGCTCCAAAGTGTTCTGATTAGAACATATCGGAGCAGCTGAGTCTGCTGGAGCGTTCTAATCAGACTGTTCCCCCATGATGCAGCATCTTGTGTATTCAGTGTCCCCATATGTCACAATGGTGGTGGTGGTGGTGGGGTGCTTTAAAGCTTGTTGAATAAGCTTTGGTTTAAGTGCCCCAGCTGCCATGTTGAAACATGGGACACTGAATACATGCGAAGCTATGGGTGTTTTAATTGGAGTGGCTCCTGGGAGCTGCTCTCATTAAAATGCAGCCTCCACCCCTACCTTGGAGCATGTGTACAGAAAGTAGCCTAGTTACAAAAGATAACAGATTTCTGGAATAAAATTGCATTATCGTCTGCCTAAGTTACTTTTCATGTTCATAGGACCATAGCAAAGTAGGGCTGGAAGACACCCCACAAAGCCATTTAGTCCAGCCCCCTCCTCAAAGCAGGATCATCCCTGACTAAGCCATCCTAGCCAAGTGTCTGTCCAACCAGCTCTTGAAAACTTCCAAGTATGGAAATTCCACAATTTCTCTAGGTAGCCTACTCCAATGCTTGATCACCCTCATAGTCACAAAGTTCCTCCTAATCTCCAACCTACATTTCCTCTGCTACAGCTTGAGGCCATTGCTTCCAGTCCTTCCCCTGCAACCACAGAGAAAAGCACATCTCCATCCTCTCTGTAATCACCCCTTAGGTATTTGAAGACTTATCAAATCTCCCCTCAGTCTTCTCCTCCCAAACTAGAAAAACCTGGTTCTTTCATCCTTTTCTCATAAGTATTGCTTCTCAGAGCTCTAATAATTTTTGTCCTTTTGCACTGGACTTTTTCCAAAACATCCACATCTTCTTAAAGTGTGGGGCCCAAAACTGGACACAGTACTCCAGGTGAGGCCTCAGCAGTACTGAACAGAGTGGAAGAATCACTTCCTTTGATTTGCAAGTGACTCTTGTTGATTCAACTCAGCATGCTGCTGGCGGGCTTTTTTATTTGTTTGTTTTTTTGTGGGATGGGGCAGGGGTTTGCCACAACACTCTTGGTTCATATTCAGCTTCTGGTCCATTGTAACCTGCAGGTATTTCTCCATTGCACTGCAGCCTAGCCAGTCATTCCCCAGTCTGTATATGTGCATGCAATCGTTCCATCCCAAGTGCAGGCGTTTGTATTTGTCCTTGTGAATTTCATCTGATCGACTGCAGGCAACTTTCCTATCTATCCATATCATTCTGGATCTTAGCCCTACCTTCCAAAGCATCTGTAACTCCACCCAACTTGGTGTCACGTGCAAATTTGCTAAGTGTGCACTCAATCCCACCATTCACATTATTAATGAAGATGCTGAATACTACTGGGTCTGGGACAGACCCAGGTAGACAGTACTTTCATCCAGTATGTATTTCCTTAGCTTACTAATAAGAATATCATGGGAGACAGTGTCAAAAGCCTAGCCTTTCCGAAGTCAAGGTATATCACATCCACTGATCTCCCCAGTCCACAGACCTGTCACCTTACCATAGAAGGAAATCAGGTTGGTTGGACATGATCTGCTCTTCATAAATTCATGATGGCTACTCCTGATCACCTTGTTAAAGTGTTCCCCCACTCTGGAGCACATGTATAGGCATCCTATATTTGCTCCTTTTCAGTCATCCATGACCTCACTTGGCATCCATGAATTCTCAATGAGGATAGCTAATGGCTCTGAAATTACAAAATTACCTTAGCAATTTTTTTCTGTACCCTCTTGTGCATCCCATCTGGCCCTGCTAACTTGAAAGCATCTACCTTCTCTAAGTAAACTCTAACCTGTTCTTCTGCTTCCTAGGCTGTTTGTCTTCTTCCCTATCTTTGCTGCCAACCACACTCATCATCTAGTAGCTGCCCGTTTGTGACGACTGAAGCAAAAAGGCATTAAATACTTCAGCTTTCTCTGCATTAGTCTTCTGTATCCCATACGGTGGGGGCAGAGGGAGGGCAGTCAAAGATATGGTTCATTGGCTGGACACAGTCTGTGAAGCCCCATCACCCTATCTCCAGTTTTACCCTAGATCTGGGTTGGCCCATGCAGCACAAGATGGACTGGCCTCACGTGTTGGGCTTTGGAAAAGTGCTGCAAACAGTGCCCACTCCAGGATCCATGCTACATGCGACACTTTCTCCCAGCCTGTCTAAAACTCTGCCTCATGGGCCTTCCATTCCAGGATCTGTGCTGCACACAGCATCCCACCACCCCCAGCTGGTCCAGGATAAACACTGTATGCAGTACCCACTGCAGCCAGACCATGTCCTGTGCTCCAAACAGCACCTGCAGTCACCACGTGCAACATGGGGCCTGGACCAGCTAGAATGGAGTGCTGTGTACAGTGAAGATCCTGGAACAGGGGAAGGGGGCGGGGGCACTACATGCAGGGTATGCACCATGTGTGCTGAATCTGGCATGGGGTTTATGAGGGTCTGTGGGGCCAATCTAATATTCCTCATCCAACCTGCAGGGCCAGATGAGTTTGATACCCCTACCATAAGGGACATATGATTTCTTTGGTCTTTCTACTTTTGATATATTTGTAGAATGCCTTTTTATGACTTTTTTCATCCCTTGCCAACTGCATTTCAAAACGTGCCTTGGCCTTCCTAATTTTCTCCCTGCATACCCATGCAATACTTTTATACTCGTCCCTAGTACTATAACTATGTTTCTACTTTTTATAGGATTACTTTTTGAGTTTCAACTAATTGAAGAGACTGCAGTCTAGCCAAGCTGGTCTGCTGTTGCACATCCCTTTCTTCTGGTATATTTGGCCTCCTTAAAGTACAACCAGATTTCCTCGGCTGCTTTTCACCTCAGACTTGCCTCTAAGATAATCTTCCAGTTTACTAAAATGCCATTCCTTCCCAAGCTTCTTTCTTTTCTCTTGTTGGGCATCTTTCCCTTACCAATACTTTCCAATGTGAACAAGTAAATAAACCAATATACTATAAATGGGTTGATTTATAGTATATATACTATATACTCTCTCATAGTTTGTAGTAATTTTCTGATTTTAGATTATTAGACTATAAGACTACTTCCTATGGTTGTAGGGACAGGACTAGGAACAATAGACTCCAAGTACAGCACAGGAAACATAGGCTGGAGAATTTCTCACTGTGGTCAAGTGTTGAAGCAGGCTATCTAGACAGTTTTGTGGAATCTCCATCCTTGGAAGTTTTCAAGAGCAGGTTAGACAGACACTTGACTAGGATGGTTTACTTAGGTATGAGAAGGCAACAAGCCTTGATCAGGGGCCAAAACTAGATGGCCTCCTGAGGTCTTTTCCAGCCCTCCTTTTCTATGAGTCTAGACTGCTGCTGAATATCTATAGGAGGCAAAAGAGATTTTAAAGTTACCTTCTTTAAGCTCCTCTGAAGATTCAGGTAAATGTAATAAAACAGATGAAAAATTAAGCAAAGTACAAGTGTAGGTGGTCAAACTGGTCTAATATGGCATGACATTTGTTTCAGTTTGAATAAAGACTATAAAATACACAAAGCATGTACCTTGTACCACAAAGTGTGTGTGCAAACCCTACAGCCCTGTAGCAAGACAGTGCACAGGCACAAGGCTTGTCTCAGACTGCTCTGCAATAGTGTACTTAGAATGCACACCTTGTAGCTTGCTCAGTTACTGAGCTGGGGTGATCTTTAGCCCAGGTGTGTAACAGGGCAGCTCAGGACCCTGGGTGGCAGAAGCAGCAGCAGCAGCGCAGCTGACAGGCCATGGCTGTTATTTTTCTGCCCCAACCACACTGCCCCAAAGGGTGGGCTCCCCACCTTAATTATGCTATTGCTTTGGCCTCTTATCTCTCTGGGTACACAGAAGCAGCAAAGAGGACTCAGAGAAATCCATAGGATTTGGGGGAATAACCCAGGAATGCAGCTATTGCAAGGGAAAGGAGAAGAGGGGTCCTATAAAATTTAGGTTAAGCAGGTGAGGAAGAGCACACATTCAAATTTGTTTGAACCCTGTCCTCCAGAAATGCAGCAGGAAGATGAAGGCAATTAAATTAAGCACAGCAAGTATATAGTTTGTGTGAAACAAGACATTTAGAGGGATCTAATTTACAGTAAAAGACCAAGTTTTGCAGAGCTTCTGGTATCCAGCTCACTGTATGAGGCAAGACTTTCAAAGTATGACTGCACTGCAAAAAGTGACTTTGAAAAAGAAACAAAAGGTTCCACAATAATGTCTCTGTGATTTCATACCCAATATGCTCAATGTACAACAAGCTAAAGGTTTTTAGCTATATGCCAGCCTTACATATTTAGCTTGGGGACTTAAGAATCTGGGAGTCTTAATCCTTCTGATTCATCAACAGTAACAAAAAATACTGGGTGCGTCTACACAAGACTTAACTTCATATTAGCCTAGTTTGACTGTGAAGTAAGCATGTGCCTGCATGTACATGTGCACATGCTTACTTCACAATAAACCTCCCTAATACAGAGTAAAATTTGCTACCTGCAAATGCAAGTTGCAAATTTATTCAGCATTAGTAATAGCACTGTAGTGCTTGTACAGATGCCTAACTGGGAGCAAAATCTGGGAGATAGCTCCCTGTTGCTGGGAGCTGCCTGCTGCCAAGGCAGGCTCTGCCACAGGAGCCCGACTGGGGACTATGTCCCCCTGCCCCGGCAGCAGAGAGCTGCAAGCCTCCTGCTCTGAGATCATGATCAGGGGGTGGGGGCTGGGAGATCCTTATCTCCCAGCCCACACTCCACCATTACAATTGGGGAGCAGGGGGCTGGGAGACACTTATCTCCCCCTACCCCTTCCCTGTAGCTCTTTCCAAGCTCCATGCCCCTGATGAGGGAGCCAGGGCCAGGAGCACCCTGTTGCCAGGACAGGGGGATATTGTCTCCGCCCCAGCAACACACAGTCCCCCAGGGCCCAGTGCTCACTGTCAGCCCCTGGGCTAGCACCTGGGGGAGCCTGGAGTTCCCCCCGGTGGCAGCAGGAGCCCACTGCAGGGATGAAGGGAACTGGGAGCTAATTTGTTCCCTAATTACTTCCTGTGTAGACACCATCCTAAAAACTCTTGCTCCAGAGTAGTTTACTGCACAGTTTACTTCTGCATGTAGATGCACCCACTATGACTAAGCCCTAATTACACCTATGTAATCCCATTATTCCCTTTGACACTGATGTTAGCTTTTGCCTTCAAGATTTGTATGTGTTAATTCATTAGTATTTATGTCCCCCTGCCCCAGCAGCAGGGACCTTCAAGCCCCCAGCTCCCAGAATGCAATCAGGGAGCGGGGCCTGGTAGATCCTTATAGAGTGTGTAGAGTCGAAAGGGACCACAATGGATCATCGTGTTTGACCCCCATCCTTATCTCCATGAACCTTGATGCACAAGGTGACTGAGCTCTCTCTTCCTTCTTTACAGAGGTAAGAAGAACAAACATTTTTGTTGCTAAAGTTACAAGATATGTCTCTAAATAAACACAGAACAACAGGTCTATTGAAGGTGGTGGTAACACCTTACAAAGCTAATAATAAATGCAAGTCTTTTTTAAAACCACTTGCTTGTCTGTTAATCTTTTTGGCAGTAAAGATAAGGGGGGATTAGAATTAGGTGGGAAACATTTTACTTACCAGACTCAAATATTTCTTCATCTTTAAGTCATCCAGAAAGCAAACACAGCGTAGGTTTAATTTCAATACTATTACTGTTTAAGGTAACTTAAAGATAACATGTAAGAATTTTTTTTCCTTTTAACAGCATAGGGACCACGTTAAGTTTTTAAGCTCCTAACCCCTACACTTACTTTCACCTCTTCCTAAATCAATTAGAAATAAGCTTGAACTACAGAGTGAAGATCTGAAACCAAAGCCATCAAATCTAAAGATGTTTGTATTTTCATTTTCCTCATCCCTACTTTCAATATAGTGATTCAGCTTGTAGTACCATACATAAGGTCACATACAAGATTATGTTCCAGACATTAAAATAATGCAACTGAAAGCAATGACAGGAACATAATCTCCAACTCAAGCTCTCTGCATTAAGAAATAAGGAAACAGACCCTGAGCAATGTAGAAACATAAGAATTGCTAGACCTAACATTAGGTCTCTAAGGGCACATCTATATGTTGCTATATGGCGACATTGCTATAGCACCGTGCTTTACTATTTCTTTTTGAAGTACTGAAGCACGGTGCAGTACAGGTGGGTACTGTGCTGTACACATGGCGCACAGGTAAATTTCACTGCTATGCCACTATAGTGGCACACTATACCTAGGGAGCATGCCACAACAACGACGTAGCTGGCAATCACGTGTAGGCACATGTGATTGCTACATCACTGTAGCATGCCATATGGTGACATAGCATGTCACTACATCGCTGTAGGGCAACATGTAGATGCACCTTAAGAGAAGCTGGAACTTGTTGCTTCTGATGGTAGCACAAGAAGTCCAGCAGTAAGCAGTATGAGATAAGCTGTCTTCAAGAAAATGTCTGCTTAACTTCCAATTAGTAAATTGGTGTAAGCCCTAAAGCTCATACCCTTTCCAAAACTGTCTTTTCATCATTAAGTCAACACTGGATAGACTTGTTATAAACATCTAACCCTTTTTGGCTCTTGATAAACTCCTCAATTCTTTTGACAATGATTTTTACAAACTCTATAAAACCACAGTAACTTGAATATTCCAGATATAGTGAGCCAAAAATCAGATGGGTTGCAGCCCTTAGATTTATAATCTGCTCAGTCAATTGGCTGGATTTCATTCAGTGGTATGTTTTAGAATAGCCATTATTTTCATAACACCTTATTTACAGCAGAGATCCACTATAACCGGAATGGTAACCTATTCATACAATACATCGAGATAGTTTGGAGCTTTTACTTCATATTTTTACTTAATTAAAAATAGAATTTCTCTCTTGAATGACTATAAAATAGATTCATTCTGTCCAAGAAACACTTATTGACTTTGTCTAGTTGTTTTATTGCAGCAAACAGAAAAAAATCCTCTCAAATTAAATCAGTTACCTGTTTCTACACACTTCTCATCAATTTGCATGTCATCTTCTGCTGATGATCACAGGAAAAAAGAACAGAAAAAAGTCCCTGAGTTCAGAATGCACTAAAAAACACTTGTAGATTCAAGACCGAACTCAAGTCAGAGAAAATTAATCCTCCTTGAAATGCAAACCAGGTTAAAACATTTCCCAATGTTTCAGAGTGTTCCTCCAATGTACTATACTTTCTCTTCAGCTAGGGAGAGGAAAATGGTTTCTTATACCAATGCTCAAAAGAGTTCCCAGCTGGGAAGCAAAAATGAGCTGTTTGCTTGCAATGAGAGAGGTATTTCATGTGAATTTTGTATTCTTATTGTAACAGGGAACCCTAACCCTGTTACTAAGAGACAGGGTGGTCCCTTTAAGTCCAGAACCTTCCAGTCACAGCCGACCGGTCAAGTAGGGGTTAAGGCTCAAGCCCTGCCAGCCAGTCACGTGACAGGAAGAGGAAGGCCAGGACCCTACAAATGGCAAGTGGAGAAGGCCAGAGGGGCAGCAGGGAGGTGGACTTTCAATGAGTAGGGTGCTGTGGCTGCAGTCTCTGTTGAAAGACTGTGCCATGCCCTGAGCCATCCTCATGATCATCTAAAGTAAGCAGGCATGTTGCCTCTCTTGTTTCTGTCTTATCATTTTTCCATTATATGGCCTTAGAAGCCTATGTTTTGTGTTGAATGTTAAGACTGGTGGTTTGAGTGAGGCTATTTGGTGAAGGAGGAGGCCTCATTGGGGGCCCACTGCAGTGTGGGGGCCCTAGTGCCAGAGAGGGTGCAGTATTTGGGGGTGAGCAGACCCCAGCACCACAGAGGGTGCAGGAGCCTGAGTGAGTTTGTTTTTTGTTTTTTTTTTTAAAGAGCTAGAGCCTGGGAGTCAAACCCTGATTAGTGGGGGGGAGGAGGTGTTTAACTGACAACCCTAGCTGGAGAGAGAAGGGGTAAGCCCACAGCAGCCAAGACCCCAACATAAAGAGAAATTTACAAATACCATCTGTGAGGCTTGGGCTGCGGTGTAGGGGAGGAACGGAGCTGCAGATAGCGCCCCCTGGCATCGGGGCAAGAAATGGGCAGCCTCCTGCTTAATTAACAACAAGGTGTGGCAGGAGAGAAGGGGGACGGTTGACCCCTAACAGGTGGACAGGGCCACCAGTAGACAAACCCCAAGCAGGCCCCCCCAGTTACACTTATATTTCAGAGGAGTTATTTGTGAAGGATTCCTATACCATCAACAAAACATCACTTCCTCCCCCCATGGCTTCTGTATTTTGCATGCGTGTTTAATTTCTTTAAATTTGATGAGCAAGGACAGAATTTTTTAAATTAATTGTTAAAACTGTTTTTCTTTTAATAAACCTTTACTGGTTTTAAAACTGAAGACCACCTCCTTATAAGTTTGTTCTCTCCATTATACAAGTATCACTGCTCCGTTGTTGGAGATCCACACAAGAAATGTGGTGTCTATGAAGTAGGAACAGCTTGGGGTTTCAGAGGCTGATGTCCTGGGGGTTTTTTTTATTGTCTCAGACTAGCCATATGAAGGAGCCTCTACAACGCTTGTGTTTACTGTTTGTGTAACAATTCTTTACTAGACTGGTCACATTTCCACCTCTCTCCTCCATATCACAACTATAATTAGATTCAATGGTCTTTAGGACCAAAAGAAATTTCTGTGGAAGTCCTGTGGTCTTGTCATATTTTGTAGCTGAAATAAAAAGGATGTAAGTTTCTGTTTTTTGAGGCCAATAGCTTGCAACAAGTTGGCAAGATGTTTCTCCCCCAGTACCTCCTACACATTTCCCTTCTCTCCTTTTTCAATGATGCTTCAGAGCTTACTCTTAGGTTTTATTGCCTGTTTCAAAAGGGAGAGAATGGGAAGGAATTTTATCCTTTTTCCAAGCTTCCATCAAAACTACTACTCCTTCATATCCTACAATGTGTGGTCTGGGTTTTTCTTCCAAAATATAATCGGCCAGACCACAAATGGCATGCTACTATTGTTTTAAATAAGCAAAACAACATCAAAGCATGTGTTTGATCAGCCTATTCAGGAAGCCCAAATGATACATTGTCAAAGAGAAAACTGACCCAATCAGTTCTAACATGCTCCCTTACAACTGACTGGTGCAGAATTTAAAAGTCTGCAAGCAGTCACCTTTTTGTACTTTAAGGGATCAGGCAACACTGGACTGGTGAGCCAAATCTAGGTAGTGAAATGCAATGTAGTCCATCTCTTACCTTCTTCCACAGTACTTACTGTTCATAACAAATCCATTGAAGTGGGTAAACAAATAAAAAAAAAATCAATACACAATTAGAAATATCCAATGCTGTGGCTATTTCACAAAAACTAAACTGCCAAAATACTCTAAGAAGACGAAGATAGTGAGTAGTGACTTAAATTTTCAAATTCCCAGAGGGACAAGCTCATCTCTATCACCATAAGGTTTTAGCAAGTGATTATGCAAGCCACAGAAAAATAGACTTGAGAAAGGCAAGAGAGAGCAAAAGAAAAATATCCCCCATCTAGAAAGTAACTGCACATTTAGAGCCATTAAAATAGTTTACAAAGAGAAACTTTCCTAACATTTCTTTACAAAAAAAGATCTAAGAAAACATCAAGTGATAGGTCTTCCAGACTATTAAAGACAAATTGGTCCCCTTAAGTTAGAAGTTAAAGATGGGCAGCATACATGCACCAATGGGAATAGTAGTTTTAATAAAAAGAAACCAATATAAAACCAGTAGCATAATGAAGGAGGTGGGGGCTGGAGCAGTAGCCCCAGGAGTCAGTCTGGGGGTGGGCAGAGCAGGGCAGGAAGAACTAACAGCAGCTACACTGCTGGTCTGGCAGGCACCATGCTGCCAGGGGCACAGCCACTGATGCTGCTCAGTGTGTGGCTGCTGCCCAGGGTTCTCAAATATCAAGTTATGCCTTTATATAAAACTATCTAACTTACTCTAAAAGTGGATTTTTTACAATGATAAGAAAAATGCTGGTTTTTGGAAGAATGAAGATGAAGTGGCATGACAGTGGTATACAGACTGCTATCTGTTCCCTAGTCTCATTTCCATAGAAATCTGTGATGGGTCCAACTGGTACCTCAGGAGACCACAAACACTACAGATTTCTTTCTAGCAAAACTTATATATAAATGCCCAATCCAGGAGGGTGCAGAAAGAACACTCCCAGATAAGATCAGATCCTTACTTCCATGAGATCAGATCCTAAATTCACTGCATTCTGAACCCTACAACAATACTGTTCCTTATTCAGACACTTCTGCCACAGCCACATATTCCAATATGAATTCTGCAGCATTTGAAGCCACAATTCAATCCAATGAATGCCTCCTTGGAAAATCTAGTTGTAAGATTTTGCTTATATACAGCAATAAAAGGAAAAAACCTTCCTTCCCCTACCCCAATATTTAGAAAATTCTGTACTCACGTATTGTTGATCTGAGACAAGTATAGGGCTGGAAAGGCTGAGACCACCAGAATTCTCGCTGCTTCCTGAACAGAAAGGAAACCATCACAGTAGGTAAGCAGTTCAAGTGGCTGCCTAACTAGCTGTTCCAACCTATCTGCACATGAAATGACATCCATGAGCCTGATAAGGTCTGGTGCCAAGCCACAAGGTGTGGAAACAGGACTAGTGTTCTACCCAGTGCACCAAGTGAGGAACAGAGTCCTCTTTCACTGCCAATACTCTACAGAAGAGGTTGGCAATCTGTGATCCATGGCCTGAATCCAGCCTGTGGAGCCATTTGATCTGGCCTGTAGACATGAAGCTTTAGCAGCCAGATTGACCCGGTTCAGAGAAGAAGTGAGCAGGCATGTGAAGTATGGGTGCTAGGATCCAGGTATCACTGCCACTTTTCCCCAGCAGCTGGACTGGGGAAGTATCCTCCACCCCTGCTTTTCCCCACAGCAGCATGGGGTGAGTGTCTGCAGCTGGCATGCAACCCCATGGTGGCAGGGGAAAGCAACTGCTGCCAAAGCCCACCTCCACTGCAGGGAAAAGCACCAGCTGTGTACACTCTCCCTGTGCTGCTGTGGAAAAAAGCAGCAACCATGGGCACTTTCCCCGTGCCACTGCTGGGAAAAGCAGTAGCAGTTGTGGCTGGGTCCTAGCACCTGTGCACCTCTGACCTGAACTAGATTCTCTCGCCTTCAGCCTGAAAAGGTTGCCGACCCCTGTTCTACACTACTGGCTTGCATGTTGCCTTGAATTCATATAGATGACTGAGGAAAGCAGTGTTATCTGTCATGTAATACACATGCGTGGAAGCAGGAGAAACGATTTACTCAAGTCTCTCTGGCACAGGACCTTAGTATAAGTATTATGACCATGTCTTGGTTTGAGTGCCCTCCAAGTTTAAATTGAATCAGTACATGGTTATCTAGCATTACTATGAGCCCTTGTAACACTGGGGGTGGGGGGTGGGGGTTGTTTTTTTGTCTCCTGATGGGTCAACATGTTTATAAAATCAGGCCAGAGAAGTGTTTTTGAGGTGTCTCTAGGCACCTATGTCTGAAAGTGCCCTATTTTAAAAAAATTGTGGCATGTAATATGCATAAAACAATTAGTTACTGATTTTTCTCATTTAAAATGAAGAAAACTGCCAGCTCATCTCTGAATATCAAAACTGAAATACCACGAATGCCTCAAAGAACACCCTTAAAATATCTTCCTTAGAAATAATTATGGCCTTGTGACATAATTCTGGATTCTTTCACCTTTCCTGTGAAGAACAATCCTACAAAATTAAGCATCATAAAAGATGGATTGGACAGAGATTATTTATAAAGTAAGGCGTCTAGCAGGCTGTTGGTGCCAGCGTGAAGTCCCTTGCCTTGAGTTGCTTACAATCTGATTTAAGATGAAAGAGATCAACCTAAGACAGAAGATGAACTTAATATCCTGTTTCCTCATAAGTATCCTTGGTAAGATTTAAAATAGAAAACAGACAAAGTGTGGAGTTATTTAATCAGACAGCCAATCTTTGATAATTATACAGTCCTAAATTGGTGACAAACCCAAGTGACTTGCTTAACTTTTTTGGTAGTGTTGAGTGATGTAGTAGCTGTGATGGTCTGTAAAACATGCAGGTGGCAAGAATTTTTGTGGGTGATATCTTTTATTAGACAAGATGCATTTTTTTTTCCCTGTTTGGCATCAAGAATCACCAAGCTTTCTTACCTCTTCAGAAGGTGGTTTGAAGGAATAAGCCCAGCACAGGTGTTAAGATCCAAGGCTTTCTTTGCCTGCCACCAGAGCACATCATTCTGGTCAACTATCTGAAGGATTTCATGCCACCAGAGCACATCATTCTGGTCAACTATTTTAAGGATTTCCCCCTTTTTAAAGGGCAAGCCTGCATCAGCACAAGGAATGGTAGGGTCTTGCAGGGGGCAGTAATCTGCCATGGCTCGCACATACAGCTGTTATGCAACACAGACAAAAGTGAAGGAGATGTTCCTTGGAGCAGCTACAAAGCAACACTATAATATACTGACAATCAAAATTACTTGATACAGCTACCAGGGTGGGAGGCAGGAAGAAATCAATGAAAGTTTTGCCATCAACTTCAATGGGAACAGTATGAGACTCAAAATCTCAGTTGTTTTCCTGATCAAGAAAAATATCAGCTCTCATACTGTGAACACTATGATTCTCTCTCTCTCTCTCTCTCTCTCTAAATTGCTCCAGAAATGCCTTAACTACCTTTCTGTTTCCCTAATCCCATCCTGCTATCTTTAACTGCATTACTAAAGGCAAATTTATTTAATCAGAGGCATATGTGCACAGTTATGACATTTTAACAGGGAAATCTGTGAGCTGCTTCTAAGTATTTTTTCTCTTCACATATACTGGCCCATTAGTCATTACTGCAATGAGAGTAATCTGGAGTCTACAATACTAGTAATCTTAAAACACATCAGAGAATCTTACTGTTGTCTGGTTGCTGACTGCTCGATCAGAAACTGGAATTAGTTTAAACATTATTGTTCCGTATGACAGAGCCTAAAAAGATTCAGAAAGTTAAAATGTAGCATGCTATCAGTAACACCCTAAAAGGAAAATAAGTTTCATCACTTCAGGACTAACAAAGGATTATTCCACATGTGATAAAATGTCCTTAAGACCTATAATTGCTAAACTCCAACAAAACCTTTCATACAGACACATCCTTAAAATAAAGTTCATTTATTCTTTAAAAACCAACTTCAGTTTAACTCACAAAGGAAGCTCAGAAACCTCAAGCCTTTAATAAGGCACATATTTAAAACAAAATTCACTGCATAGGGTTGACCTAGTTGTGCAAGGAAAGGAAAAGAATAAGCTTAAGGTCTCTAGATACAGCTGAATGTTAATTATCCAGAATAGCTGGTTAATTGGAAAACTGATGGGTTTTGTTAATACAAAACCGTAGACTGAGGGAGAAAATATTATTGGGGGGTGCTGAGTGCATGCACGCTAGCACGTGTGCACGCACACACCCCATCACAACAGGTAAGTCTGTTGTGGGGAAGGGGCGAGGGGGAGGGGCAGCAGATCGAAGCCCCTGCAGTGAGGGAAGGAATGGGGTGGGGGCAGGGGCACTGCACGTGCTCCAGTGGAGGTCTGGGGGGCATGTGCCCTCCATATTTGTGTGAGGGGTGGAGGTGGACTGCTGCTGTGGGCTGGGCCCTGCGTCCTGCTGCCACTGCCTTGGGAGTGGCACGATGTCATGTGCCTGCTGCCGCCCCTTGTGCGGCTAGCATATGGCATTGCACCACTCCCGGGGCAGCAGGGTGCAGAGCCCAACCCACAGTGGCAGCCCACCTCTACCCTGCGCACAAATCCAGGAGGCACATCCCCCAGGCCTCTGCCGGGGCGCACGCAGCAGCGGGAGCCCTCCTGCGCCCCTGGACAAGCCGCCTGATCTCCGAGCATCCCATGACCTGCCCCAGGCCCAGTGTCCCATTCACTTCAGCCCCTGCCCCTGACCCACTCCCTCACCCCTTCCCCATGACAGATTTACCTACTGCAGTGGGCAGTGTTCTACATGCCACCGGGCTGTTGCAGGTTGCGGCTGCGTGTCTGTGCATGCCCCTTTCCTCCCTCCCCCCCCCTTGCACTGCAGTTGCCTGGAGCCCGTTCCCAGGCTGCCTTGTGACCCTCTGTGCTGCTACTGCTGCCCTGCATTGGGGCGGGAGGAGGTAAGTCCCATTAGCCCTGGCCTTCCACCTATGCACGAAACATGCTGGTTAATTGACTTTCCAGATCAGAAGTTTTCAACCTTTTTTAATAAGTGCAGCTGGATGTGGAGTGGCGGCAGCACAGAGTGGTGGGTGGTGGTGGCAGCAGCAGCTGCTGCGTGTGAGCTTCCCCACTGCCGTGTCTGGCTGGCTGGGCAGCACCTAGCAGTGCAGGGTGGTGGGTGGCAGCACTCCATCCCCGCCCACCCACGCATACCCCCTAGGGCCTTCCCAAGTACCCCCAGGGATTTGCATACCCCTGGTTGACAACCCCTGTTCCAGATGATCAATTCTACTATACTGCATTGTAGTAAAATTTGTATTTCTACTGCTCTGTTTGCACTTATTTCTCCATGCATGATAAAAATTGAAAGGCAAAGACAAAAAGACCTTAACACTTTTTAACTAAACACTTAGGACAGGGGTGGGCAAAATATGGCCCATGGGCCAGATCCAGCTTGTGAGGCCATTTTATCCAGCCCGTGGGGCCCCTAAAAAATGTAGAAAATCAATATTTCTCTGCCCTTGGTTCAGGTCAAAAATGACCTGAACCAAGGGCAGTAGGACCCAGGGAAAGCCCGGCGGGTTCCAACAACAGTGGGCCCGCCCAGCCCTGCCCCCCAGCCAGAAGCCCCAACCAGGGTTTCTGAGCTGGGAGCATGTGGCTGCTCCTGCGTGGGAAGCTCAGGTAAGGGGCAGGACCCAGTCCCTCCCCACCCATGCCCGGCACCCTGCATCACAGCCTGTGTGGGGCTGCCTGTGCCTGCTCCGAACAGCCCCGTGCAGGCTGCGAGCACGTGCAGTGTGGGGCGCTGGGAGTGGGGCAGGGCAGGGGCTGCTCCCCCCGCGCTCAGTTTTTCCCTGGGCTCCTTCCCTGAGCAGAAAAAAGTGGCCTCTTGCCCACCCCATGGCCAGCAGCCCATGCTACAGGAGCTTGCAGCCCGTGTGGGGCTGTCCAGAGTGGGCACAGGCAACCCCAGGCGGGCTGTGAGTGGCTGGAGCGCGGGGCACCAGCCATAGGGCGGGAAGGGGCTGCTTTCTCCACCCCCGCCCTCAGCACCAGCTCGTAACCTGGCCCCAATGCCAGGCTGGCAGTGGGGCAGGGAAGAAGCCGGTGCTGAGCACAGGGAAAAGTGGCCCCTCACCCACCCCATCGCCAGCACCCCATGCTGCAGCCATCTGCAGTCCACATGAGGCTGCCTGTGCCTGCTCCAGACAGCCCTACATGGGCTGCAAGTGCCTGCAGCGCGGGGCACCGGCCATGGGGCAGGCAAAGAGTCACTCTTCCCTATGGTCAGCACCAGCTTCTTCCCTGCTGGTGAGCAGGGGTTCAGGGCTATGTGCTGCACTGGGTGTGAGCAGGCGGGGAGCCAATGGGAGCACAGGGCCCATACTGGTGTCCCGGGGCCAGTACTGGTGGGGCCCCGGGGAGGGGGGCAGGCAGGGGCTCTATGGAGCCAGGCCAGCTCCCCCCTCTCCCTGTTGGTGCAGCCCAGCCTGGCTCCACAGACCCCTGCCGGCCTCTGCCCCACTCTGGGCCCTACCAGTGCTGGCCCTGGGACATTGACCAAGATGGTGACCAGAGGGTGGGGCACCTGTCAAGGGGCAGGGATACCCATGTGGCCCTCCACAGCCTGCCAAAACTGGGTAAGTGGCCCTCCGCCCAAAATAATTGCCCGCCCCTGACTTAGGACCTAATTGGTTGGATATGACTGTAAATTCAATGAACACCAAATATTTGTGAACTGGCAAATAAACCAACACACATCAGGGATACTGTATCATACAATGATCTCTATTTATTTTGACAAAGGTGATTTTAGTAGACGTTATCTGTGAAAATATTTCCTAATACACAAACTTTGTAAAACAAGTCAAAGCTCAAAAATGAGAGCTCCTGCTAGCATACTCCAACTAAGTTTGCATGGACACTGAGTGAAAGAGCTGTGAGACTCACTGGTTGTGGGTTAGCAACACAATAGTGAGGTTCTGCCACAAAAACCTATGTCAAAAGACAAAAGATGTAATACTCTCCTCTACAGCAGCACTTTGGTTCCACTTATGCCCCATTTTAAGGGTTTAAAATGGTATATAGGCATTGTACTGACTTCTGCCTAGAGGTGAGAACCACCACAGTGAAGAAGCCTGAAAGACATGCATTAAATAGGAAAATCATTGCTTGTGTGTAGCTCTTTCCTTCCCCAGGAAATTTCATTTTTTTTTTTTTTTTTAAAGGAAATGCATTTTTAATTGCAACTGAACTACAAAAGAATTCAAAGGAGAGCAAAAGAAATTTCATACCAAAATGTGGATAACTTGTTCTGGCTCTAGTCCCTCCACTGGAACACTGTTTACTTCTACCAACTTGTCCCCTGCATACAGCAACCCTAAAATTAAAAAAAAAAAACAAAAACAAAACAAAAAAAAAAAAACACAACATCGGTAATTCATTCAAATTGTGTTTCTTTTTCCTTATTTGTAGTCGGGGCAGAAATACATTTGCTTCCTCTCCCTTTTTTTGATAAGCTGTCACCTATGAAGCATTATGCTTCTCTGAATGAGTTGGTCTCTAAGGTGACACACTGCCCTGCCTTCGCATTAGTACAGCTAACTACCTTTTTCCCTACTTTTTTAAAAGTAATTTGAGATCCTTGATGAAAAAGTCCCACAGAAGCATTAAGTGCTCTTATTCAAATTTTAAGTTCTCTTCAAGTGGATGCATTCAGTTTCAGTGCACCAGAGCTATTGGAGTATATAAAGTCTCGAAGTCCTGACCTAAAGTCCCTGATTCAGAGGGAGGGGGGAGTTTGAGCTCCTTTCTAATGTCCGACAGAATTTGCTTAAGTAAAAAAAAAAAAAAGCAAGAAATACACACTCTCTCATGAAAACAGCAAGCAGTTGTACATTTTCCTTCACATCAAAGTATGTCCTAATGTATATTGTATCAATCAATCTCAACATGGAAATCATTCAGTTGCCACAAACAGCTTTGGTCCTTCTCTACATAGAGGTCAAGAAATGCTAAATGGAGCTATAGTATAAAGCATTATAAAATGTTAAAATGATAATTTCGCCACTCTCCAGTGCTTTAATGAAGTTCAAGCTGCTTTAAAAGAAAGAAACCTGCTGGAGTAAATCTATTTCTGTAACAGTACAGCAGCAACATTTCCAAAGAGATTTGTTAGAGAATATTAGTTTTGCTGATGGCATTCATTCCTAAAAGCCCAGTGCAAGAAAAGAAAAAAGTACTCGTATATATTCTGTATAGCCAGGTATCCCAGAATCAGACTGCCAACACTTTACAATTTATTACATCAATTTCTTCATTGGGAATTCAGCATGCTGTTATTCATACCAAGTGGCACCACTATGTAGTAGTAGAGCCATCATCTCATGACAGATAGCCCAGGTATTTATATTAAAAAGGTAAACATTTTTAAAATAATGTAAGATTAGCTTTACATCTTAATCTGTCTCTGCCTCTCTTGAATGCAATACATCTACCACAGAATGCGTGAGTGATGGAGAAATAAAGTGCCAAAGTTATTTTCAGTGTGAGGTGATTATTTCTCTTTATATAATCCTATACCATGTGTATGCCTAAAAGTTCTACTGAGAAAAAGAGACTTTGCAATTGCACAAGGAAGGTTGTTTCTTTTCTTTTGTGTTTCAAATGGGACTTACCACTTCTGTCTGCTAACCCACCATTGATCACCCTGGCAACCATAATGTCACCAGTTATCTCATGGCGTTTAATGGTGGCACCCTGACAAAAAAAGGGAGAAACAACTCTAATCATTTCCATTTATACAAAATTCATAACAGTTCTATTCTTTCTATTCCTACAAAATTCTTTTCACACTGCAAGTCAGATCTCCTTCACTATGACTGGAGATAATTGTAAAACCTTTTCTTTCTCGCAAATACTGCACAATATTGCAAGACAGTGCGTTATGTTAAAAGATGTGAACCAAATTCATTAAGAGATAAAAACATGATTATTATAAAGCTCACAGAGTATATTCCAGACCCTTGCATTCCATCACAGTCTTGCATAAAACCTTCCATAACATCTTTTCCTGTTCTAAGCCCTGTATTTATCATAAAAGGAATACAATATAAAACTTGGCACATAAAAGCACTTCTCATTTTCCCCCATCCTTCAGATAAGGAAAAAAACTTTTTTCAATACACATGTTCCATCTCCAAGATGTGTTTGCCAGTTAAAAATAAAACAAACAGGATTACCGCAAATTCTGTAGCATTACTGAAAAATAATCCAACTGCACAAGATACGCTATTGAGTCTATTGCACAGGTGTAAATAATGTAACCGAAAGCTTCTTACTAGAGGTTGCTTATTTTTCACTAAGCAGACAATCCTCATAGCTTCCTCATTTTCAGGGATGTTATCTGGCAGAGGTGGAAGGACTGGTTCAAAATCTTTCTGGGCCACAGTATCATGAGCTGATAGTAAGGCCTGTAAGAAAGACGACACATAAGCCTACCACTAAACAAGTTTGATGATAAGAAAAAGGAGACTGAATTCTAACTCAGACCCATGGTATGGGACCCTATTTACATTGTTTGAATTTTCTGATGGATAGAACATAGGAGATTTTCCTGATATAGTGGAATTTAATCATAGTGGGCCTTTATACATGTACTCTGAAAATGGGTGCTTTAATTGGAGTGGCTCTGAGAACTGCTCTAATTAAAGCACTTGGAGGGTTTTGGGTATCAGCATCCCCATGCTTAAAAATGGTGGCAGGGTCACTTTAACTAAAGTTCATTCGACAAGCATTAGTGCCCCCACTGCCATTTGTAAGTGTGGGGACACTGATACACAAGACACTGGAGTCTGCTGGAGCACAGTAATTACCACGCTCCAGCAAACTCTATTAACTGAGCCTGCTCCAATGCACTGTAATTACAGAATGTCGGAGCAGCCTTGCTGCTCATGTATAAGCACCCAGAAAGAGGAATCCTTATGAAGTGCTATAGTAAAAAGGAAACAAAGTCTGTAATTGCTTTGAAAACAAAAAACACTTTATTTTTAATTAAACAAATATGCCCTGATTTCTTAGACAGTTTTAAGCCAGTGGTACTTAACTGCTGGCCCTCAAGGCTCCCCACAAGTCCAGAAATTTGGCAGCAGGGAAGTGGGGGCAATTAACACAGCCACTACTCCCCCACCACCATTTCCAAACCCTGCAGATCAGATGTTGTGGCCCTGTGCAATGGAACCCAATGGCCAAACCAGTCCTGCACACTGGATGGAGCTGGATATGGCCTGCGGACCAACCCTGAACTACTCATTTGACCCGCAGGGCTAAAAAGTTGGGCACAGGTCACCACTTACTTTAAACTATGCAATAGAGGTGTTCCAATTGTACACAGCTGTTAAAAAGAGCAACAATAACTACATACTGTGAATACTGTAGATATTTAATTATTTCATAGAGATAAAACACAGTTAAATCTGTAGATAGTGGAGTGGGGGGGTGAGGAAACATTCCACATCTGCAAATTAATAGCTAGTGTTGTCTATTAGTTTCTTTTTACAGTAAGCTAATCAAAGTGTCTGCTGCTTCTTTTACTGCCTTCTGAAGGCAACTGCAAATCTTCTGTGCCTCGTACTACAGGATTTTCAGCAAAAGATGTTTGCACTTCCCTTTCGAGGAAGGATTTGCACTTGCCTTGACATGTGGAGTTCGGAGAAGTCGTCTCAGCTCTCGGATCTCTGTGGACTGAGGAGCTTCACGCAACAATTCCCCAACCTGGTAAGAGTATTTAATACAGCAATATACTAAAACTTTATTTAGTAAATGACAATGCTTTGTAACTCCAATTACTTGCAACATGATTAAGTAAATATTCCCTTCCCATTTGCTAGGAGAAGGGAATTCACTAGGGCTGCATACAGATACTCAGAAAGTTTGGGGGGAGGTTAGATCATATTATAAATGGCTACCCAATCTAACTTAGTTCACCCAGGTGCGGACCATATACTAGATCCCTAGTTGGTAGCGATGTGTGAAGCTTCAGTCTGCGATTCAGTTTGGAGAAGATTAGGCCTGATTTGGAGGCCGAATCACCAAATCCGAATAGATTTGGAAAAGATTCAGAAGGCAGTCTTTCAAGGGAACAGAAACTGAGAAGAGGGAAGGGGAACAGGGAAAGACTGATATCTATAGCTTGCCAGTGACTGTCATCTTTCCCTGAGTCCCCTTCCAATCACAGTGCTCTGGGGGAAGGATGTAAAAACAGCATATAAGCCTCTGTCTGCAGCTTTCCTGTGCCTTTTGTAAGCTGTTTCTGCCTGAGTAGCAGCGTCTGAAAGGTACTAGACTGGTGTAGCTTCCTACCTAGTCATTCTTCTGCTAGTTTCTGTTCTTGGAAAGGATTGGATACAGCCTACTAACTAGAATCCCTCTACTTATCCCTATCCAATCCAATCCACTTCTTTCAACTTATATTTGTGGGGTGTTTTGTTTTTTTTTTGGGGGGGGGTGTCTCCCCACACATTTAAAAAAAAAAAAAAAAGCTGCGTTTTCCCTGGCAGTGTGATCCATCACTGTGCAGGAAAGCACATATATTAGACACACGCACACACACACACATACATCATAGAAGAAGTCAGATAGAGATTATTAAACACAACACAGAAGAAGAAGTCAAATAGAGATTGTTAAACCAACACAACACAGAAGAAGGAGTCAGACAGTAGGGCTGTTCAAAGCTTTGGTCCCTGATTTGATTCGGTGGCCAAATCTCTGAATCCGAATTGAATCAGAGGGCCCTTTAATTTCTCTGAATCAATTCAGAACCCTCCAAATTGATTTGGAGAGATTCAGACAGATTCGGCAATTTGGACATAGAGACACCTTTTAAACGTTTTTTCTACATACCTCTAGGTAGCAGGGGCTCATGATTGCTATGGTGCTGGGGCGCATGGAGCACAGAAGCACAGGGGGTTCCCCAGAGTGCTCAGCAGCAGACCCAGAAGTGGACTGGAAGCACTTCCAGGCCCAGGGAGTGTTCTGGGCCTCCCCCACCTCCCCCCCCAGCTCAGCGACTGGTGCCTCCTGGGTCTGGGGGGGCACCCAAGGTCCTCCTGCAGCCGATTGAGCCAGAGGAGCATGTGGGGGGGGCAGGCAGTGTGCTCCCTGGCAGACCTGGAAGTGGACCGGAAGTACTTCCAGTCCACTTACAGGTTCACTGCCGAGCACACTGGAGAGCCCCCATGCTCCTGTAGGATGCTCCATCCACCCCAGCACTGCAACAATCATGAGCCGCGCTGCTACCTCAAGGTACATAGAAAAAACTTTTAAAGCCGTGCCTGTGTCGGAATCGCTGATTCGCTGAATCAGCATTTAATCATCAGATTCGGATTCGGCCAAATTGAATTGGGGACTGTGATCTGAATCAACAGATTTAATCACTGTCCCCAATTCGAGCTGAATCTGAATTGAATAGGGCCCGTTCTACACACCCCTATCAGATAGAGATTATTAAACCAATGCAACACAGAAGATGTCAGATAGAAATTATTAAACACAACCCAGAAGTAATCAGACAGTCATACATCAGAGAAGAAAAGGAGATATTATTAGTTAGTTACACACGCAGACACATTTTCCAGCACAGGAAAGATTAATATGAAGCATGCTGGAAAGGCAGATGCCAGGTCTTCTGGCAGGGGAGGGAGAGGGGCTAGAGGGGGTAGGAGGAGAGTTAGAGCTGCAAGTCTGTCCTCAACCCCCCGCCCCCAAACAAATTCATCCTCTTTCCTGGCATCCATGAGTTTTCTGCTGCCAGTGGGAGCAAGGAGGTGGGAGCAGTACCTGTCCCAGCACCACCTCCCCTAACACCAGAAATAGCCACCAGCAGCAGAATGACAGTCTCCTCCATCTCAATTTCATCTCCCAGTGTGAGCCTCCCACTGCCAGAGGAGGAGCTGGATCTGGAACCTGAGTGCCCTAGCTAAAGAAATTCTGGGGACCAAGGGAGAATCTGAGTTTGTGCTCCACACCCCTCGAAGTTCCCCTAGAACCAGGTCTCCTTCTCAGTAAGGCACCTCGGAGGAGGTTATGGGGGCAGGTGGCTCAGCTTCCCCTGCTGTGCCTCTGCCTGCTCAGGATGGGGATAAGGCAGGATCCCCACCCTCAACCCAGAAGCAGGAGGGTAGTGTAGTGTGGGATCATTTTGAGGTGGCTGATCCCAAATATGCTATCTGCCAGCACTGCCGAAGGCAGATCAGTCAAGGCAAGGACCACCACAGTGCTGCTGCTGCACCTGAGGAAACAGCACCCCCTTGCCCTTCTTATTCCTCAGCCTGGCACCAGTAGGAATGTGCCCAAAGGAAAGTCCCCCTCTTGCTCCAAAGCCCCTGTCCCCCCAGAGGCAGGCCACCCTGGAGCAGTGGGGGAAAGCCACAGACAAAGGGGGGCACGTTCCAAAGGCAAGCAAGGTCACCCAGAGCATTGGGGAGATGCTTCCTCTGGATGGCCAGCCCTTCTCCTTACTCGAGAGGCCAGGGTTCAGGTGGCTCATGGAACTCATGGCCCCATCCTACCAAGTGCCCACATGCACCACCTTTAGCAGGATGATGGTGCCCTCCCTGTATGAGGCATGCAGGGAGTACTTAAGGAAGGAGCTGCTCAAGGCAGGGCTGCAGGTAGCTTTGCACTTCACCTCCAACATCTGGAGCAGCTGGGGTGGAGATCACACCTACCTGTCCCTTACAAGGCACTGATGTGATCAGTCAGGCTGTCAGTGGGCTCTCCTTCAAGCTGAGGTGATGGATGAGTCCCACATGGCAAGGGAGATCAGGGTGGCCATGAACCACATGGTACAGGGGTGGCTTGTTGGGCAGGGCGAGATCACCTCCGGGTTCATGGTCACTGACAATGGGACCAATATGGTCAAGGCGGTCCATGATGCCAACTTTGTTGGCATCCACTGTGTGACACACAAGCTGCATCTCGGTCAGGGACGCCTCGGAGGAGGACAGGGCTGCCGGTGATGACACTGTTACTACAGTTTCCCCTATTGTTGTGCCTCTGACTGCTGGGGAGGAGGATAAGCAGGATCCCCACCCTCAACCCAGAATTGGGGGGCAGGTAGTGTGGTGTGGGATCATTTTTTAGGTGGCAGATGACCCCAAGTATGCTGTCTGCCAGCACTGCCAAAGACAGATCAGCCGGGGCAAGGAGGTGAAACACTTCACCACCACGGCAATGCTGCTGCTTCTCAGGAGGCAGCATCCCCTTGCCCCTGTTCCTCCTCAGCCTGGCACCAGTGGGAGGATGCCCACAAAGAAGTCCCCCTCTTGCTCCAAAGTCCCTGTCCCCATGAAGCAGAGGCAGGCCACCCTGGAGTTATAGGGGAAAGCTGCAGAAAAAGTGGGAGTGTGCATTGCAAGAGCGAGTGAGGTCACTCAATGCATTGGGGAGATGCTTGCTCTGGATGGCCAGCCCTTCTCCTTAGTTGGGCGGCCAGGGTTCAGATGGTTCATGGTGTTCGTGGCCTCTTACTACCAAGTGCCCACATGTACCACCTTTAGCAGGACAGTCGTGCCCTCCCTGTATGAGGTATGCAGGGAGTACTTGAGGGAGGAGCTGTGGAAGGCAGGTCTGCAAGTAGCTCTGTGCTTCACCTCAGACATCTGGAGAAGCCAGGGTGGAGATCATGCCTACCTTTCCCTCACAGGGCACTGGTGCAACCAGTCAGGGCATCGGTGGGTTCTCCTTCAAGCAGAGGTGATGGATGAGTCCCACATGGTAAGGGAGATCATGTGGCCATGAACTGCATGGTGCAGGGGTGGCTTATTGGGCAGGGTGAGCTCACCTGTGGGTTCATAGTCACTGACAATGGGGCCAATATGGTTAAGGCAGTGCATGATGCCAACTTTGTTGGCATCCGCTGTGTGGCACATAAGTTCCACCTAGTCAGGGATGCCTTGGAGGGGGGCATGGCTGCCACTGATGATGCAATCACTACCACGAGCTGATTTCAAAAAGCAGGAAGGTGGTGGACTACTTCCACCACAGCATCAAGAGGGACAAGATGCTGCAGGACAAACAGGCAGAGCTAAGCATCACACAGCACAAAATCATGCAGGATGTGGAGACTCGGTGGAACTCCATATACCTGATGATCAGGAGGCTGGTGGAGCAACAGAAGGCCATCCATGAGATGGCCTTGCTCAAGGAGATTGGGATCAGCGCCACCCTGAACAGAGCTGAGTGGGATACTATCTCCCAGATCTTATTTCCCAGTGGTCCTCAAGCCCTCCACTGAGACCCTCAGTGCTGGCGATGCCCTCCTTAGCCAGGTGATCCCTGTAGTGAGGGAACTTGAGAACCAAATGGAGAAGTTCCATGAGATCAATGTTCCTGGCTGAGGCAAGCCACTGTCACCAGATGTGCAGGCATGGGTGAGGCAGCTGAAGGAAGGCATCAGGAAACGACTGGATCCATTGCAGTCCAGCATGGTCCACATGTTGGGGGACATGTGTGGCAGAATGCCATCTCTGTGTGGGGGACCAATCTGACAATTTGGTTACCATGGTCACTGCAGAGGGCAGAAACCCCTGGCTCCATTGGCTTCAGGTAACCCCGAGTTGTAACCTGAGTTGGATACATTCCTGAGGGAGGGGGAAACCTGCTCCCTCTGCCTACTTGACTGGCCTCACACACCTGGGTGGGGGCTTAAACTCCCTATTATTCTAAGTAATGTCATCATGACTGAGAGGAGGCTAGAGACCCTGCCAGTCTACCTGGCAACCAGTGATGCATTTCAAATTGCTTGGCTGGCAGCCAACAGTTGCTGGCCTTCACTGGATCAGGTAAATGAGGTCATAAGGTCTATATAAGTTAAGGACTGCCCAGGAGGTGGGGTAGCAGCTATGATGAGAACTCTCAGAGAAGCTGGACCATCTGAAACTCACTCTCTGTCTTAAAACTTATGGTCAATGAATTGCTTGCCTCCAGAGGAAATCTCTACCTGCCTCAGGATGATATTTGTGAGTAAGCTACTTGAGATCTAACTAGATATATAGCTGTCAGTAACACAGATGTGTAATCAAAGGCTACCATGACACTGTTTGCTCTAAGGGATTTCTCTGATAGTGCTCTACCCTGTACTGTATTCTAAACCTACTCCTTGTAACCAGTAGTTCTCCTTTGTACCTAAGCATGGGAGACTTATTGGGAGAGGGCCTAGATTATGCCTTGGGGTCCCCTTGGTTCAGCTGACTAAGGGAGACCACTATTTGTGCTTCAGACTGAGGGATGCACCCCAAGTTCTTGCAGTGGGGCAAGTACCCTCAAGAACTACTAGGTCTGTTTCCCAGGGGGCACAGGGCCACTATCAATCCAGTCCCTGGGTGGTGGCGGCGTTACTCCCAGGCTTGCAGGTATGCTTCAGGAAGGGGGTCAGCTGGACGTGAGGCACCCCCAGGGAGGCACTCGGAGCCTGGAAGGTGGTTGGGCGCAGTGAAGCGTGTGGTTCAATGGAGGAGGGCCCCCTACTGGCCTGCCACGCCATGTACGACCCAAGGGTGAAGAGGAACATGTGCACTGGCAGCACCAAAACCCTCGATCACTGGACAGAGGTGCTGGTGAATAGAGTCAGGGAGGCAGAAGGGCAGAGGCAAGGGGATGTGGAAGAGGGGGATCCACTTTCCCATGCCAGCACTCCCAGCACCAGCCAG